CTTCAACCTTTTGGCGAAGACCTTCTTGGCCTTCAGTGCCTCCGCCGTGAAGCACCCTTCATGCGAAGGGTCCTTCGGAGGGCGTCCCCTCCCATCCTTCTTCTTCCTCCTGAATGCCGACTCCCACCCCTCATCCTCCGGGGAGGAGGCCGAGTCCGAGGACTCGTCAACGACCTCCACCTCGTGGTCAGAAGACGAGGCGGAGGGATCAAGCCTCCTCTTCTTGCCCTTCGGCAGTTGCGCAGCCTTGTTTTTTGCCAGTTGCGCAGCCTTGCTACTTGCCGGGCCAGGGCGGCTCGCCTTCACCCTGTGGAGGTTGAGGGTTCCTCTTCCCTCCCCTCGTGTTCCGAGTCCGAGTGCCCGGACGCCGCCCCCCCGCGTATCCTCAAAGGAGAGGTTTCACGGGAGAGTACTAAAACTCCCAGGGGCCCTAACTGGGTTGGTGATGACCAAGTCGAAGTCCCGATGAACTCAGGGCCGTAGGTCGCCCCAGGATCCTCCTCCCTAGGTAGACCGTTAATGGCCTCCTGGCTTTTCCTCAAAGCCTCAGGCCAGGAAGTCCATCCCGCAGCGCTGTTGGTCCGCGCTGCAATGGGCATATTCCGCCCGCATGTTACGGAGGCGTACGCCTCCACCTCCACTTCACCCTCACCCTCCACCGCGTCTTGTGTTTGTTTTGTTTTAAGAGATATCATTCTTGTGTTGCCCACCCCTTGTGACCCGAAGGCGTACAGGGCGGGCTCTAGAAATGGGAGGAAATACGTACCCCCCAGCCGGTGCCCCCTCGGCTAGGGTCGGGCGATTGGTACGCCCGGGGTTCGCCAGGTGCCCCGGGGTGGACCGTTAATGACCGGCTAACCGCGCGGCCATCCATCTCCTCGCCGCGGCCCAAAACTTGAGATTGGGGGAATTTTTTATAGAGGTCCCCATCCTCGCAGCCCAGGCGGTTAAGCCAAGGCCCTCGTTCCCCCGGAGATCGTCATAGACATGACATAACGACCCCGGGGGTTTACGATATGAGCCCAGATCCGACGTTGGTCGGACCACCGCTGTAGGGGTCCTGGCAAATGCCACGCCGACCCCTGAGATACCCCGTGCGCAGCTGCCCACACGGGGTGCATTTGTTTTCTGCACGTATGCCGTTCGACCGCGTCAAAGTGGAGATTATCGAAACGGTTTTTTTGTATTTTTTGTTTTTTGTATTTTTTGTTTTTTTTTATTTTTTTGTTTTTTTATCTTTTTTTTTACATGTTTTTGTTATTTTTTGTTTTTTTTGTATTCTAAAATTTTTGTCGTTTTCGTTTTAATATTTTTTATTTTATATTGCTATAAAATCATCTGCTTTATGTTAAAATTGCTGTTTTATTTTATTAGTACATAAGCATTAGTTTTTGCTAGTTATTAAATTTTTACTATATAATAATATAATATTATATAATAATGTTATATACTATATACTATATACTGTATACTATATTACATACTATATAATAATATAATATAATGAAAATTTAATAACTAGCAAATGCTAATGCTTATGTACTAATTATATAAAATAGCAATTTTAACGTAAAGCAAATGATTTTAGAGTAATTTAAATATAAAGTATTAAAACAAAAATATATATAACAATATAATATGATAAAAACTTAATAATTATATTATATTTATATTATTTTGGTAGTAACAATAAATTATATTATATTAGTATTAATAATAACACTATGTTATATTAGTTTTAATAATAAGATATTTTAGACTTCCGTTTCCGGTAGAGAGTGTGATTGACGTGTGTATGTAGAGTGTGAGTGAAAATTTGGTCATTGAAGTTAAGGAGGATTATAGTGGAGAGTAAGGGGGTGAAGGGATAGGGAAAAGACAGGGTGTGGTGGGGGAATAGGGGAAGAGGGTAAAGAAGTGGAGAGGTAGAAGGGAAGATAGGTAGATGTGATTTGGAGGTTAGGTGAGTAGAGGGAAGAGTAGGCCATAAACGTAGTTAGTTGAGAAAGAGTAGAACAAGAGAAGAGGCGGAGATAGTGGCGCCTGATGGCAGTAGGGAAAAGAAACAGGGAACGGAAAAGCAGGAGCGCGGGATTTTTGAAAGAGGGAAAAAGTAGTGTGATAGAGGAAGGAAGAGATGGAAGAAGGAAAAAGGAATGGAGGGGAAAGGAGGGAGTTGGGAAGGCAAGAAGATGGAAAAGGGGAGGAGAAGAGGGGGAAGGGTAGGCCGAGTAAGGCAGAAGGTGTGATGAGGGAGAGAGCAAACAGTCTGTCACTGATAGACGCTTTTGATAGAGAGGAGAGAAAAGGAAGGAGATGGAGGAAATACAGGCAGGAATTTTCAAGAAAAGCGTAAAAGTAATGAGATCGCCAGAGAAACAGACGGAAAAGCAATTAGGGAAGTAGATAGAAACTCAGTTAATGGAACAACCAGAAAAACAGGTGGAAGGGAGGATGAGTGAGATTCTGAGGAAGGTGAAAGAAGGTTTCATGGAGGTGAAAGCGGAATTGAGAGAGGTGAAGGAAGGGAGGACGGAGATGAGAGAATGGATGGAGGAAATGAGAAGGAGATTAGACAGTTTGGAGAAAAGAGTAGAGGAAATGGAGAAAGATAAGGGGGGAGGAGAAAGAGGAAGGGTGTGGGGAAAAGAAGGTAAAGGAAAAGATAGAACAGTTGGAGTTAAGGAGAAAGGGAGAGATGAAGGAAGTAGAAGGAAAAATGAAGAGGCTAGAGTTGGAGGGGGAAAAGAGGAAAAGGGAAGAGAGGTAGAGAAATATAATTGTAAAGGGGGTGAAAGCAAAGGAGGAGGGAATAGAGGGGTTAAGAAAAGAGATCAAGGAGATAGTAGGGGTGACAGGAACGGTGGTGAGAAGCATAGGGTATAAGGACAAGGAGAGAAGAGGGATGGTATGGGTAAGACTAGCGAGTGTGGGGGAGAAAATAGAGGGGATGAGAGGAAAGGCAAAGCTGAAAGAAAGAGGGGAGTGGATAGTGGATGATCTGACTGAGAAAGAGAGAAGAATAGAGTGGTGGATAAAGAGGGAAGCAGAAAAGAATAGGAGGAAGGGTAAGAGAGTAAGGGTAGGATATATGAAAATATGGATTGAGGGGAAGTTATGGGTTTGGGATGAGTTTAGAGACGAATTGAGGGAATGGAAGGGAAGAAAAGTAAGGGAGGATGTGAGGGGGATAGGGAGGGAAAAGGGAGTGGAAAGAGAGAAAGAGGTTTTTTAGAGAGGAGGTGGGGGGAGGGAGAAGGAGAGATAGAAGAGAACAGGGAGAATAAAAAGGGTGGGAGAAAATGGAGGAAGAGAATAAAAGGAAAAGATAAAAAATATACAGTAGGTTACTGCAATGTGGCGGACATGGAAAATAAGGAGGAGGATTTTAGGAAGAAGTTAATGGAGTGGGACGTGATGTTTTTATGTGAGACATGGCTGCAGAGGAAGGGGTGGGAGAGGGTGAAAGAATGGCTGCCGAAGGGTTATATGTGAGAAATGCAGGAGGCTAGAAAGTGGAATAAGAAGGGGAGAGCAATGGGGGGGACGATTGTGGGGATAAGGGAAGAAATAGAAAGAGAGAGAGAGAAAACCGGGAAAAAATGAAGGAGGGAGTATGGGCGATTAAGGTTAAGTTAGGGAAGGTGTGGTGGAGATTGATGGGAGTATATGTAAATAGAGATCTGGAGGAAAAAATGAGGCTGCTAAGGGAGTGGAAGGAAGACAGAGAGGAAGGGGTGAAGGTATTAATAGGGGAGGGTATTTTAATGCAAGAACGGGGAGATGAGGGAGAAGATTGGGCAGGGAGGAGGAAGAAGGGGAAGGGTGGGGGAGCAAGTCGAAGAATGAAAAAAATGAATGGAGAGGGGAAGAAATTGTGTAGTTTTTTTTGGAAAATTAGGGTGGTCGATTCTGAATGGAAGCATAAAGGGGGATGAGGAGGGAGAATGGACGTTTACAGGAGGGAAGGAAGGGACGGTAATAGATTACGTGATTGGGAATGAGGAGGCGAGGAGGAAGGTTGAGAAGATGAAGGTGGAGGAATGGGTGGACTCAGATCATCAGCCATTAACGGTATGGGTGGAGGGAGGAGGACAGTGGGAAGAAAGGATAGGAGAAGGGAAAAGGAGGGGTAGAAGGAGGGTTTGGTCGGAAGAGGGAAGGAAGAAATTTGAGGAATACTTCGGGAAGAGGGAAGAGAAGTATAAGGGGGTGGAAAAGGAATGGAGGATGATAAAGAGGAGAGTAGAAAGGGCAGTAGAAAGAGTAGAGAGAGAAGAGAAAAAGGAACGAAGAGGATGGTGGGATGAGAAATGTAGGAACATGAAAAGAGAAGTAAGTAAGGAGCTGAAGAAGTGGATGATAGGAGGGAGAGGGGGAGGGATATAGAGAGATGAGAAAGGGATATAAGGAACTTTGTAATGGGAAGAAGAGGCAGGAAAGAGAAAGATGGGAGAGGGAGATAGAGGGAGTGAGGACGGAAAGGGAGGTGTGGAGAGTAGTGAATAAAGAGAGGAAAAAGAGAAAAAGAATCAAGGGAGGGATAGAAATGAGGGAATGGGAAGGGCATTTCAGAGGTGTACTAGGAGGTGTGGAATGGAGGATAAGAGGAGAGATGAAGGTGAGAGGGGGAGAGAAAGAAGAGGAGATAAGTAGGGAAGAGTTCGGAGTGACGGTAAGGAAACTGAAGAATGGAAAAGCGGCGGGAGGCGATGGAATAGTAAATGAAGTGTGAAAATATGGGGGAAAAGAGTTTCGGGAATGGTTGTGGGAGTTATGTAACAAAGTGTGGAAAGGGGAAAAGTGGCCAGAAGAATGGAGGAAGGGGGTAGTGGTACCGATAGTGAAGAGGGGGGAGGGGGAGAGGGTAGAGGACTATAGAGGGGTACGTTAACGCAAACGGCTTATAAGGTATACGCCACTGTGTTGGCAGAGAGGTTGAGGATGGAGAGTAAAGGGATACTGCCACCGAGTCAAACCGGTTTTAAGAAGGGAAAATGGATCAGATCTACGTCTTGAACTATATAATAAATAGGAGAGTGGCAGAAAGGAAGGGAAAGATGGTAGTTTTGTTCGTGGACTTGAAAGCGGCGTTTGACTCGGTGGATAGGGAGAAATTAGTACAGATGATGAGGAGGAAAGGGGTAAGAGAGGGTTTAGTCGTAGATGTGAGGAAATTTTAGAGGAGACGATAAGTAGGGTGAGGGTGGGGGAGAGGGAAGGAAAAAGTTTCTGGACGAGGAAAGGAGTGAGACAGGAGTGTCTATTGAGTCCATGCTTATTTACTCTGCTGCTGGCGGATTTGGATGAGGAGTTGGAAAAGGGAGGATGGGGAGTAGGGTGTAAAGGTTAAAGGAATGAAAATATTTTCTTTGGCATATGCAGATGATATAGCAATGGTGGCGGAGGAGGAAACGGGAATGAAAGAAATGATAAAGACACTAGAAAGATGTAGAACAGAGGAGTTTGGAGGTAAATGTGGAAAAAACGAAAGTGATGAGGTGTAGAAGAGAAGGGGGGGGAGGCAAAGGAAGATGGTGTGGAAATGGAAAGGGAAGGAAATAGAGGAAGTGAAAAGTTATATATACTTAGGATATATAATGATGGCAAATGGAGGTCAAAGGGAGCATTTAGAGGAGAGAGTTAAGAAAGGAGCGGTGGTAATGAGGGAGGTATGCGGGATAGGAAAGAGGAA